CGTTAAGCACAAAAGTTAACATTTTCATAAGCTGAAAATGTATTTCCAATATTAATTACCTCCGCTGACACTATAGCTATTCCACGATCTCCAGGGTTTCCACTCTTTGCCCATCTAAGCATTGAAAATGCTTGCTCCAGTCTTTTATACCCCACTCAAATACCCTTGGCAAACTCGTTTGCAAAATTCTCCACCAACTTCAATGTGCCCTCTATCTAGAAGTTGTATATAAGCACCTCATTCAGATAATGTAATCACTTTTTTGAGACATAAACCAGCTTTTAGTGGGAAGGAAGGGCGGAAGAGTGTCAGCGGAGGTAAATATTACTGGAAATACAATTTTAGTTTAGGAAAATGTTAACTTCCAAAACATACTTACCTCCACCGACACTATAGCTAGAATCTCACATTAACAAGGTGGGGGGGGGGGCAGTGCAGGAACGAACCATACAGAAACGTCTGTATAGAACAGGAGTGTACCAAGATAAAGATGGTACAAGAGTGGAAGAACCACAATACATCCAGAACAGGTATGCTCTTCACCTGAAACCCAGTTCCTATTTCAAAGGTGGAATAGAATATAAGTAATCATCAGTGTAGGACAGCCCCAACCAGATAGCCGAGATTCCACAACTCGAGGTTGGAATTAAGAGGTCCTGGTACCTATATCCCACATTGGTGGTTAGGGCCTATTGGGTTGCAATGTTATATATATACTTTTGATCGGATCCCAACCTGTAGTCATAGAGTGATGCATTTCACACCACCGGAATCATGATGAGAAAGTAAGCAACACTAAAGTGGACAAACTTTCTTCTCCACCTGAAGAAGTCCAAAAGGCAACACCGGGGCTTGGAATGATGGAATCATGTATGCCATACTCAACCAGTCTGGAATTATGAACATTCATCCTCACTCCCCAACCAAGTAGGCAAGGAGTATTCCACTTGCCCCTAGAATTATGGAGATGATGTGGAACCTGTGCTCAACCAAGGACTTAGGATGGTACAAAATCACATTTGAAATTATGAGGAGATAGTAGACCTCCTCCCATGAACAATATATAAAACCAACACTGATTAAAGAGAAGGCCCATGCACCCCCCAACTGAATAGTTTTGTGTTAAATCTGAACTGGAATTACAAGTAGGCTCCTGCAGAGGCTGGTGCCACTCCTACTGACATCTGGGAAAAACACCCAGGGACCCAAGGAGGAGGGTCCCCAACTTAGCCCTCTTTTCCAAGAGTGAAGAAACACACTCAAACACTCTGGAGGAAAAGCCTCTGTTTGCCACCTCAGTGACTGAAAACTGGGGGTGGTAAGGACTCACAAGCTCCACTAGTAGAGTCTGGGGGGTAATATGCATTGGGGAATCCTGAGAAACTGTGCTCTGGAAACTGTAAAATAGGAGAATCAAGTTCCCTACATTTTTAAAAGTGAACCAATCCCGATTTATTCAACCTGATGATCGGCACAGACGGGCAGGATCCCCTTTAGCTTTACTCATGATAGTCCATAAGTGGTGGTCCATAATGATAAGGTAATACAATCCAGTAGGTGCCTAGATGGTCTTATGGAACACCTTATTTTAACAGAGTCTGTTGCAACCTGTAGTATTTATAGTGAAAGTGGTTGCTAGTGCAGAACTGAGAAAGTATACCTGCCTGGGCAACACTCACCACAAAGTGGGATCCAGTGAAATATAAAGGGACCCTGGAAATAAAAGAGTAAATGATTGAGGAAAATTCTCACCTCTGGTTAAAGACTAACAGACATGGTCAAAAACCCTCAGAAGAGGAAACTGCCAGATTATGTAAGTAATGTAATACCAGCCTGCACATAGTCTTCCAGAGGGCAATTCAACCAGGGTGGCTAATGATGAATCTGGTGAGATGTGACACGCAAAAGATTCCTCTCCTGTAATGATAATCCATTATAGGTCATGCAAATAAATTTGGGAAGGCACATCGTTAGGGTAATAGGAAATCAATTAATACAAGCTAAATAATACTTGGAGGACCCTGACGGGACAGAACAAATGATAAGGATCAAAGAGGTCAGAAAGGTGAGAAATGGCTGACAAATAGATTGGTGAGAAGGATCTTTTCTCTTCCCTGGTTGCTAGAGTCTTGGGAAGAAAAGACCTATCAAGATAAAGCAGGACAAATGTGGAATGATAAAGAGTCCAATGCATATGGATTGCAAACAAATCCGACTGATGACGTCCACAAGCCAACAACAACAAAAATTACAATTTAAGATAAGAGTGAAACAAAGAATATGAAGCTAAGGGCTCAAAGGGAGGATGAGACAATACATGTAAAACAACTGTAAAATCTCAGTTCAGTAATTGAAAAGGTCATTTGGGCTGAAGAATACAAAAGGATTTGAGTAAATGTGATAGTACTGTCCTTTCGATATTTGGAATATAAAAAAATAGTGGATAAGAATGACTAATATAAAGCCACCGTAGATAAAGCAAATGTCTGGGTGGAGAATGTCAGATCAAGGTTGTCTCAATAGAGACTGCTAAAATGGAAGAGGTAGAGGTGGACATTCCTGCAGATACCAAAGAAGCGGAATCCACATTTGAGCTGGTCCATATGGTGCAACCAAGAGAACTTGACAGGGAGTGGAACGAACCATGGTCAGAACCCTGGGGTAATAGCCAAATTGAGGGAAAGGCATACAGATGTAAACCTGTCCAGTTCTGACTGAATGCATCTATTGCCAACACTTGAGGATGAGGTATCTGAGACCAAACAACTGCAATTGAGAATTCCAATGAGTCGCAAAAGCATCGATCATTGGAGACATGAACTGAGAACAAATCCACCAAAAAACCTTGTGATGTAGCATCCATTTCATCAGAAGAATCCGGTTGGGTCAAGACAAGTGATCTGCAAGTAAATTCATCATTCCTGGAACATGACAAGGTAAAAGACTGATATGAAGGGAATGGGCCCAGTAGAGAAGACACAAGGTACGATAACAAAGGTCTCAAGAATGTGTGCCTCCTTGACAAGAAATCTGAGATACCACTGTGACATTGACAGAAAGTATCATGCCAATTTTTCCCTTCAAGTGAGACAGACCTTGAACCATTACCTGGTGTACTGCAAGGAGTTCAAGAATGTTGATATGGAGGGTAGACACATCTTCCATCCCAATACCCTGGAACTCCTGACCTAGAAGATAAGCTCCCCATCCCTGAAGAGATACGTCTGTGAAATGGAGCTTCCAGTAGCTCACTGAGAGCAGAAGATGGTAAACAAACACTTTATAACAAAGTGTCTATACTGAAAAAATTCTAACAACAAACCAGCCAGAAATACCAAGAAAGGAACTGAAAGACAATCTGAGTGATGAAGACATCAGCAAAATACCCAACTCATCCTCAAATTGCTGAAGGGAATGGTGATAGTCTTAAGACAAGTTAGATCGAAGATAAATACCCCAGGACAGTCATGAGAGTAAGAAGAATCTGAGAAAACTGTTTAAGTGATCACAGATTCCAATCAAAACTACCACAGGTTTAAAAGGGGTCCGTCCATTGAGAAGCTAAATATACTTCCTCCTAGGGGTGATATGCTAAAGTATGTTTTTCTGACAAACTTAGGGAACAAGGTATAGCTATCCCGTCGCAAAACTGAGCAGCAAATCTTCCAGCATGATCAACAATACCAGGAAATGGAGAAAAAACCAAGTAAACACTTGCCATCCTTTCTGCCAACAAAGAAGGAGTAGAGTAAAATGCAATGGGAGAGACCCCCAAAACCTCCCAAACCTGAGTAACGAAACAAAGAAAAGGGGCTGGAGGTTGCTGATCAAAATGATCCTCTGTTGAGGCCGACCTAGTAGAAGAAGAAGCTGAAAAAAAACAAAAACGAAGTCTAACTTTTCCCTAACTAGTCCTAGGTCAATTGCAAAACCCGCCTCAGAACTCGCTCCACATATATGTCTCCAGTCGCAACGGTTTCTATCATGGACAGCTTCAACTGAGAGTGACCCCTTCCCTGGCTATTGACAAACATCAGATAGCAGAGGTGGAAGAGGTCTGGTAGGCCTCCATAATAGAATCAACTCGGGAATTCATACCTGTCGGTATGTTTTGTTTTTTGTCAATATAATTTATTGATATAAATGAAAAAATAACTGTAGAAACACCAACGATGTTTAAAATCACAATGTAAGTTGTGAATAATCATAACACTCCTGTTTATAGAAACCTGTGCTGAATGCTTTGTTGAGAAAAAGTGATTATATTATCTGAATGAGGTGCTTATAAACATTACCTAGATAGAGGGCGCATTGAAGTTGGTGGAGAAGTTTGCAAATTAGAATTTGCCAAGGGCATTCGAGTGAGGTATAATAGACTGGAGCAAGCGTTTTTAATGTTTAGATGGGGAAAGAGTGGAAACCCTGGAGATCAAGAACTAAACATAGTGTTAGCAGAGGTTTTGGAATTCTGATTACTTAAGAATTCTATAACTATTAACAAACAAACAATTTTTAATTTTTCTGCTGGTTTGACAAGTATTAATAATCGTTCTTGTTATAAAATTCTTGTTATAGGCAGACTAATTTTGAAAGATGAAGAATACCAATCAGGAAAGACAAAAATACAAATTGTTAACAAACAGGTTTGTAATATTGTGCCATTTATCCTTACTGCTCAGTATTTCTCAGGTTTTTTGTTGTTTTGTCTCTCCCTGAAATAATTAGTCTAAGTTCATGAAAAAGTCAAATCAAACCTACTTTTAATGCTTTTATAGAGAGAAAAATTTGCCTCTCAGTCTAATGAAAAGGTGTAGAAGACAAAGATATTAGCTCCAACACATGGTTCAACTTAGTTTGAGCTTGAAACATTAATAACACATCACTTAATTCTACTGCCAACAAAATATGAATTTAAAAAAAAAAGCTCTAAGAATCCCAAGGAGGAATTGTTTGAATCTTGATTTTACAACTCTGTACAGCTAATAACACACACATCTTACCCAACATCTTGCTAACATAAGGCTCTACATCGACATCCTGCAGATGCTGGTAGGTGTGAGCATGGTACAGCCGTAAAGTGCTGTCTAGTCTGATTGACACCCACACCCCTTCACCAACACGTGCCATCTGTCGCACCTGGCTTTCCTTTCTTGGATGTGCATCAAATGATTTCTAAAAGAATAACACACAGATCATATTTTTTTTAGTAACTAGACTGTAATTTACAGAGAAACAAACAAAAAAGGAAATTATATTCCTGAGATTCTACTGTATAGACATTGCTGAAATATACAAAATGAAAAATATATCATTTTGTTAATTATTATTTCAAGGTAATATCAATAACTGCATAACATAACTCACAATAACTTTCAAAGATTTTGAATTCACAACATGTATCCTGTTACGATAGCCACACCAGACTTTGCTGAACACTACTGCCATACATCGAACTGAATGATGAGGCTGACCTAGGTCTAACACGTGATAGTTGGACAAGTCCCACTGTCTATCTAAAAACAACAAGAGTTATATATATAATCTTCATGCCTCAGATCTCACAACATCCTTAAATTTGGTCTAAGATTTGTCACAATAACAAAAAAATACTTCAAAGTTCTTAATATCAACATCTTCTGGTTAACAACACAGAAAAATCACTAACAATTTTAACTGGTTATTAAGGACTTCAATACTCTTAAAACATATTTCTCCTCTTAATATTTGTTCTTGTTTGTGAGTTCAATACTACTGCAATAATGTCTTATTTATAAGAAAATGATTCTATTAAAGATGCTTCTATATTTTAAAATATTGATTATATATCTAATAATAAATTCTTTCTTATGCACACAAAATTTATCATACTAATTAGTAGTTACTGCAATAAAACAAAACAATACCTTGGGCTCTATGAAAAACAGCAACCGTTCCATCTGCCAAAGCAGCAAAAACTCTACCTTTGATATGACTGTAAAGGAAAAATGAAATATTTACATAAATACATGTCAAAGGTTATCAATGTCCAAGTATAAAAATATGTATCTTGGGAACCAGTTTTCATACCATCAACTTTTTGTTATAGAGGTAAACAAATACATGTTTCCTTGAAATTTAATGACAAGGAAACACAGGTGCAAGAATAGGCAAGAAAAAAAAGAGAGCAGGGCCCAGCCATGTCCAGACAGGAGGTCAGTGGGATTGGGTATGAATCTTCTTCAAGCTCATGTATTTTCAACAAGTTAAAAGGTAATGTTTTAAAACTAAAGAAAAACATATAAATAACTATGAACCCTCTCACTCAGGGTAACGATTATTGTGCATGACACAAGATGTTAGTGTCTTAATTTCAAAATTTTATTAAACTACTTTTTTGTTTATGTTATACCCATTAGAATAGCATAAAATTGTAGCTAATAATCCATATTTTAATAGTATACAAGTTTTAAGTTCTCAATTCTACAAG